AAATCACAATTTGATATAATAAGTTTTCCAACGCAACATGTGTGCGCAATAAAGTTATGTACGGTTTATGTTGAAGATACATCATATTATTTTGATGCAAAGAAAACACAAAAAGAAGACTATTCGATAAATTTGCTTGATATATTGCATGTGTGACATGCATGTTCCGATAACCGTTAACCGCAACGATGGAGCATTGACACTGGTCCGATTCAAGCATGCATTCAAACTTTTCCAAGCAATCAAAATGAACAAAGATAAAATTTTTTTAATTCTTCTCTGCATAATCGATATTTTTTGTTAAAATTTTATCATATGAATATAAAAAAAATTGCAGAAACACATATAATGTAAAAATTAAAAAGATATAATGTGTGCACATGAATGTGAGCGGGGGGAGGGGAAGGAGAGTACGCTCGTGCACGCAGTGAAATTAAAGATACTTTAAAATGTTATTCGATTCGAAGTACAATTATAAGGTATTATATTATTGATTTACAAATGACATTTTAAGATATCAATATTTATGTAAATTTATCTTCTTTCACAAATAAAATAGATAAGAAATTAAGCAAGAATTGAAATACACATGTCTCTCGATACCTTCGAAAAGTCATCAAAGTTTATTAGGAAAATATATTTTATATAAAAACAAAATAAATTAATGCGAAAAAAATCTTCAATTTCTCTAATGATTATAATTCGAAAGATGTAAAGTAAATTAAAGTAAATGTTTATTTATCTTTTATACACACGTTATGTTCTTCTAATATCGAGAGCTTAGTCTCTGAAATTTGAACGAGCAGTCTATTGAAAAACGTTTGTTTTTCTTACCGCTGACATATTTATCGACGACTTTTTGGTCGATGATATTTACGTTCCCCTTCCAATTATATATTATATGCGAATTCTGTCTAACGATGCATTTTCAACGGTGCTTCGTCAGAAATATGCTTAGTTTGAAGATTAAATAACGAGTCCGTATCAAATTACGCGGGAGTAGATGTTGGATAACTAATAACAGCTAATAACGTCCAGTACGAAAAGTACATCTCCTTTCGTGTAAAGAACGTGACAGAATGCACATGCTCTTAATAAATGTGAGATTTATCAAGGCAGTAATTTTATATAAAAGTAAACTGTACATACAATATTATCGCAAAAGTCACATATTTGTCTTTATATCTATTATTTGTATGTATATCCAAACATAAAGAAAAATTATTATTTCTTGAAACTTCTCTCCTTGTTTCTTCAATTCCATGCAATTCATTTTATAACTGAAATGCTGATTTAAATTTTAAATCAGTATTGTAGCAACAAAAAAATGGAAAACTCTACATCGTACAGAATGAAATTTGAATTAACAAAATTTTTTATTGATAAAAATTGTTTGATAAATTACACTA